AAACCCTAAGCCTTAAACCCTGCAACACTTGTTGTGATGCTCCAGGAAGCCGGCAGCTGTCATTGCTCAGCCACACACCTACATATATATATATATATATAGGTATATATATATATATACATACATGTCACGCGAGCGAGATAGAACGGCAGAAAGACAGATATAACGAAATAAATAACAACAAACATAAATTATGCGATAAAGGCAGATGATACGATTTCAAGGCCCAAGTATCTACTAAATCGGTACGAAGACCCTGTGGGCAACATGGGAGTCCGACAAGCGGTTTTATACCAGACGTACACTTACGAACTCTAAAGAATCTAATCGCGTCTGTATGTTCGCAGGCGCCTGTATTCCTGCTACTGTTTGCCCCACATGCTGGGATCCAGGCTGTCATTCTTGCTTCCACTGACATAACCAAGCCGCCAAACCTTAAACTCGTACCGCACATACACCTATACAAACCGGAGCTCATAAACCCTGGACCCTAAACCCAAAACCCCTAAAGCCTGAACCCTAGACCTTTTGACTCAGGGTTGATTCAACTGTAGAGTGTCCGTTTTCATCGTTGGTTAGAGGCATTTGGGCTCTGGAACCTTTTGTGTGTGTGTGTGTATTCTTACGTGTGTATATGCATACAAACACATATGTGTATATGTATATCTGTAGACAGATAGATAGGTAGGTAGGTAGATAGATAGATAGATAGATAGATAGACACAGGTACTTAGACCCTGCACAGCCAGCAGCAATAGCCAAGGAAGCGGAAGCGCACTTCAGTGTCCGGGTTTCTCCTGAGCCTTGGTTGATTGAGGCCTTTTAGTTCTGGTCGCAGACGAAGTTCCTTTTCATGGTTTACCTATCCTAAGTTAGGGTCCTATGACAATAAGCAAGATAAGCTATCAAAGTAACTACATCGGAGACTACCGGCAGGTGCGGAATTGACTATCTGTTGGTGCCAGAGTTTTGTATTCGAGAGGAGTTTGTTTGGCTTGAGGGCTGGGGCGGCATAAGGGTGAGGGCCTTGACTGATGGAATACATGGCCAGCAGAACCCTTCGTTCTCTACTTCTACTATACCCTAAACCCTAAACCCTAAACCCTAAACCCTAAACCCTGAACCCAACCCTAAACCCTAAACCCTGAACCCTACAAACCCTAACGCGTCTCCCTTTCGTGGTTGAGTCCGTCGGAGCTTGGTGCAGGAGTTTAGGATCATCTTCGGCACGGCCTTAAACTGTGGTCGGAGACTAGAATTAAAAGTTCTGTGCCTGTACCTAGCGAGAGTAGACAGATAGATAAGTCGATGACTAGGTAGATCTGTCATGATCAGCTATAGCCTATAGCCTTTCGTCGTCTCCTTCTGCGGACAGCCGAAACCTGAAACCTTTCAGCCGACTGCTCCAACACCGAGGAAGAGTGTTCAGAACCGGATGCGTGCGCCATGGCGACGGTCATATCATCCCCAAAGAATTCCCCCAGACTCTCGTCTCAACTCTGCAGTGTATCCCTAAACCCTAGACCCTGAAGCCTAAACCCTAAACCCTTCTTCTAATGTTTTTGTTCGACTTGTTGGGCGCCACGTTCCGGGTTGCAGCGCTACGCCCTTAGCCCAAAGCCACCGTAGGATGGCACGGGGTTGAGGATTTAGGGTGGAGGGCTTGGGCCGGTGGTTTCCGGGGCTTCCGGGGAC